AACATTAAGGGAACTGTCAGATCTTGAAGAATGAGATATCCAAATTAAAAGTATGTACTGACATATTTTTAATTTGGATTAAAAATATGTCAGTACTACAATGACTGCTGTTCCCTAATTTGTTTATTTATTTATGATTTTTTGAGCAGCATATGAAATAAGATAAGTTCTTATATAATAAATTAACTGCTTGAAGGTAATATTATATCATTATTTACTCAAACAAGTGGAAATAACGAATCTTGTACTTGTATTTCTGACAAATTCACTTAATTCCGGACAATTTTAGCACTACATACTGAAATTATCCAACTCTTTTGGTAATTTTTAAAGTAGTTGTAAACGAACAAAGCTTTAAAATGTTTTAACAATGTAATTTGTTGAGCAGTACAAATGTAGATGTGTAAACATTTCTCTTATGTCAAGGAATTGAAAATGTAATTATGGAAGATACTGAAAATATGCAAGTAAAGTGTATGTGTCTCAAATTGTAATTGCTAAAACAAGGAAAGTTATCAAATCAAAGTTATAAGTTAAGTTAAAATCTCTAAAGTCTTGTACCTCAAAGTGACCATCTCCATCATCCATCTGTGTTTCTGTCTGTTTTTTAGGTGATGTCCTATGTGGCCACTCTTCTCTACTTCCTCCATGCCATATTCTCTGCCATTCGATGGAAGAGGTCCTAAAACAAGTCACCAACTCAAGAGAAAAACAACAACAACAACAACAACAACAACAAAAAGAATAATCACATAGCTTTCACAAATACATTGAGAGGAAAATTATTTTTTATGCATTTATTTTGAATCAATATGCCCAAACATCAAATTCATGAAAAAGTGGAAAACACACTCAAACAAAAATTACATTATCACATTAGCCTACCTCACAATTTTCAATGTTGTTTTTTAGAATCCATCCATGAGAAGTGAGAATTACAAGTTGTCAGAATTAAATGTTGTTTAAAGAAGATGGATGAGTGTAAATAACTAATGAAATTACTAATCTAAACAGAAGCAGGAATGATATTATCATAACTTTTGATTTATTTTCACTGTAACTTTCAATAGTATACAATTTAAAAGCTCAGCTCACAAATTTTATTGCACACTCACACACAAAAAAACACAAATGCATTTTTTAAAACTCATGATCTGTCCTAATTTTCTTTAAATATATTTCTGAGACATTTCAAGAAAAAAAAAAAGATGTTTCCTTCAGTTTCTGTAAGTAAACCACGTCAATGATGCTGGCTTAAAGACAAATCTTTCTGCATCTACCATACTAGTAACACACTAGTAACATGACCTAATATGATAGCTGAAATTTCAATATTTGCTATATATCTGTTTTGCCTGAATTAGATAGTGGAGAGAAGAAGGGACAAAAAAGGAAAGACATACAGCCTTAGGCTAGAGTTTAACAGAATTGCATCTAACCTTGTGGCATACAGTCACCTGTTCATTGTGTGAGCTAAACCAGCACCACAGCGTTTAAATATTTCCAACATTTGTCACACGACTTACTTCTACAGCTTAACACAGTTAGACTTTTAGTTTGTTCTCACAAAAAACATTTATAAAACTGAAGCAGGAAAAGCGGGAGGATTGTGACTTTAGTTCCTACAGAAGACAAGGCCAACGATAAATGGAATGGGCCCTATATTTCATCTGTTGCAACTTGATGGGCCGAGCTAAAATAATGATCACTTTGATGGTGATCTACCCATTTATTCAGCTAAAGTGAGAGCCGCTACAAGGGTATGATTGGACTGACACTAGAGGCATTGTCAGATGCATGTGTTGTTGTCTATAGTTCCGCAGTGACTGTGTTTACAATGTTAAATTGTCTTGGATTAGCAACACTTGAGTTTTATTTATATAGATATATTAATTTGTTTCATTGTTTCTTTGCTCTCGTCTTATTTCTTTCAATCATAGAGTGATGTAGCAG